GCTTCAAGAGAGGAAGGGAGGAGGAGAGTTGAGAGTCTTCTGCCCCCTCGTCCCCCCCTTAACCAGCCGCAGGTTGTGTTGCTGAGCCTCGTGCCTGCTTGCTGTTTGTTCCGGTAATTATAACTCAGTCCGATTTTTTTTTCTCTCTCCATCTTACACAATGGACTGCAGGTTATGCCGAGGCCCAGTTCCGACAGTACCAAAGGCTCACCAAGCAAATCAGACCAGACCTGGATAGCTACGAGAGGCAGAGGGAGGAATGGTGAGTTTAGCCTCTGTCCCATCTTCTTTTGCTGTCACAGTACTGTATTTGTGTCTTTTTATACTTTGTCCAAATAGACAGACAGCTCAACATGGGAAAAAGAAATGGCCTCTGGCATTACTAGATCTTTGTGCATTCCTATTAACAGGGTCATAAAAATTATGCATGAGGACGTCTCTGCTTTAAAGACCGTAACTGTGAAATTTCCCGTCAAGTAAAATGAATTGTAACAATTTGCTTGGTGTAATCATTTTAGGATTCACCCATCACATGTGCACAAAGCATATTCTATATGATAACTCGTACCCCCTCATTTTCCCTGGGGTTAGTGTTAGCTATGTCAAACTGCACCCTCCTGAAGTAATTTCAAGATTTTAAAGTGCATGCACGCTAAGGTCCAAGAAGAGTTCAGGGCTCCTTAGAGGCTGACATATGCAGAACCGTGAAGGATACACCGACGCATCATGCCCTGAAACCGAATCATCATCTCCTGTTAGGATGACCATAATCACAATGATGGAATAGAGAAGTCAGTTTAAGCATGGTAAAATGGTTATTATCTGTGGTTAGGCATTTCTAATTCCTTTGCTGGTGCTCCACAGCGGTGAGGACTTCCACCCCACGTCCAATAGCCTGATCCACGGCACCCATGTCCCCACAAAGGATGGCATTGACCGCATGGTGGAAGATGTTGAAAAACAGTAAGTCGCACTCAAAAACACACAGCCAAAGAGAGATGCCATATCCTCTCCTGACCGTTCACTAATTGAATCTCAGCCTGCCCGTGTATCACCCTGACTCACTAGGCTCCACTCGGCTCTCCTTGGCGGCTAGCCAACAAGAAGCATTCAACCAGGCTAACAGGCAAAATGCTAATGAGGAAAAACAAAATAATAATCTGTACGTATAGCAGGTCATAAGTCGTATGTAAAATGTCCCTCAATAGAATTGAATCCCCCAATGACATTATTTAAGAAAAACATGGGTTAGCTCAGCACTGTTTATACTCAGCCTTGCTAATTATGATTTGCTAAAGCAATCCAAACGAAATGTTCATTTTTCCGCCCTCTTTCCGGCACTGGCACACCACAAACGTAACGGGTAGACAGACTATCTCTGTCGAAATAAATTATGCGCGGAATGAGAGAGTTTGTGACCTCTTTGCCAATTTGGTAAAGGGGGTTGGTGTGTGTGTGTGAGAGAGAGAGAGATCCAGGGCCTATCTGATCTGAAGAAAGCTCCAGAGTGGAAATTCTGATGCAAGCAGAGATAGGAGGCAGTTCATTATTATTGGCATGGGGTGATGTTTAGGTGGGGGGTGCAGCAACTTCCCCAAGTGGACCACCTTTAACTGAATATTTCGCTAGTCAGGGCACAGCTCCTGGTCAGACAATGGCAAGACTAACTTGACCGTAGGCCATTATAATTCACATCAAACCGTACCTTCAGTGTGAATGCTGCTTCTAACAGTCTAGTTCTTCGTTAAGTCTTTGCTACAGAAGTCCCTTTCACCTTTGATTACCCGGGTCTTTCCCTGAGCTGTTCTATATTTGAGACAGTCGAAGACTTGTGTTAGAGATGCGACTGTGGGGCATTAGACAAGGATTCAGTTGCCAGGGTATGACGCATAACAATGCTTTGAAGACACAGTGAATCAAGACTGGGCGCTCACAAATTGACAGTATTTTCCTCTGAGTACGTATGTGTGTGTTAGGTTTTCCATTGCCACTGTCCTTGCCAAATTTAAATGCACCCACCCACCCCAATTATTGCCTGTAGCCAATTATTGTTATTGGATATGCCCATGGATAGTGGCCATAGTGGTTTATGAAATCCTCCCTAAGCTGCTTTTATTTGCGATTGTCAGGATCGAGAAGCGGGCCAAGTACAGCCGACGCAGGGCCTACAACGACGACGCAGACATCGACTACATTAACGAGAGGAATGCCAAGTTCAACAAGAAGGCGGAGCGTTTCTACGGCAAATACACAGCGGAGATCAAACAAAACTTGGAGAGAGGCACCGCTGTGTAGTGGGTCCAGTCACCTCTGTGGACGTTCACTGCTTCAGTTTGGTCTTCATTTAGGAGTCTTATATGTATTAAAATGCTAAAATGGGCTCTCTCTCTGTATTGTAATGCAGTTTTTTTTATTATGCTGAGGTTATTTTGGGCAAAAATTCAATTTCCTGTATGATATGTAATGCGTGGTGTTCCTTTGTACAGTATTAGAAGTTTAAACAACATTTATGATTATTCTTATCCTTTTTTTTTTTTTTTAAATAAACCACTTCCAACTATCCATCTATCTTGCACACTTGTTGGTGTACTGCGTGTGGTCTCATGACGGAGACCTTGAGCGTGAGAATGAACTACCATTAACTACCATGAAACCTCGGGGCATGTTTAGCTGAAGGTGCCAGCCAAAAGAATGTTTTGGTGTAGGTGCACACAAAAGATAAGGACCAACAACTGAGCAATTCAGTTTATTCATTATCATCGACATCTCAGTTTAACCAACTTGCCCCAAGCAGTGACACGAGCAAGAAAGCCTTGTGACTGGAGAAGACATGAAAACAGGTTCCCATGCAAGTCTCCCATTCCTGAACTCCTGTGTGTGTGAAATGGGGGCCTTGCACCCTCTACAGGGCACACAGGCATTGGTTTGTGAGGGGATGGTACTGAATTGAATCAAACTTCTAGTTATTATATTTTCTTATATTTCATCTGCATGAGTCAATCTTGGTGAACCACATAGAATAAATTTATGGGGGGGTGGGGGCCTCAAAAGGATAGTGTGCAAAGACACAATGACACAAGCTGTTTATGTTTCGCTCACAAAGGGTAGGGGAGGTCTTCAGAAGATGTCTTTGATATCCGACTCTCCTTTAAATCTGTTAGGGAGTGGATTAAGTGTTCGGGTCTATTTGTGATATTTTTGTAGTGTTATCTGATTTGCCGGAGGATATTGGCTGGCAATTGTATAGGGAACAACACGGCATAAATTCACTGTTGTGTCTCACAGAAGATCTGACACCTTTGATTCTTTCACGGCCAACTGCCAGTTAAAAGTATTCCCTGTAAAGCAAAAAGGGTTTGATTTAAGCCTAGTGAAGAAGTACATAAGAAAACGATTGGATAAATACAGTGTCAATAGGTGAGTTTCCCCAAAGGCACAAAAGCCTGCAAGTGACTTAAGTGTTGCCAATTATTTAAAAAACCTGCAAGAATAAAAAAACAAACGTGATCACTCCATAAGATACAAGACTGAGAAGATAAATGTGACTGTCGATTGTGCTTTGTTAGTGTGTGTATCAAGTAATCCAGCTCCAATTCCCTCAAGTCTCACTGTTATGTATGTGCACGTCTTATCTCCTATCAAAGTAATTCATCAGACTAACAGGTCAGTTTACAGCAGGAGACACGCAGTCTGGCACTCAGACATATTCAAAACTGTGATTTTACCTTTTTGTTACAACAGATTGTGACATGTATCTTAATATCAGTATGAAAAACCTTTAAATTTATTACCTGCTCAATATCTCACCTAATAACCTTACCTTCTGGCAGTAATTCATCAGTAGTTTTAATATGTGCCAAGACCGCGTCAAGATAAATACACACAAGCTTTAGGGTAAGTAGCTGTGCTGCCACAACAGCAGGATATACCCAGTTACTCATGAAGGAGCATGTTCACTTCTTGTGTAAGCAGACAGCTGATGGTGATTGATGGTTGGTGATCAAACCTTGTGTGAGTGTGGCTGTGATTCCTACATATTGATTGATACATTATTACAGGTGTTATTCACAGCAGACATTTTGACTCGTCATAGCAGGAAAAGCACGATAACTTTAACGATGGCTCCGTTCTCTTCTTGGAATTTTACACCTGCTACTCCTACTGGGACATGGCTAAAGGAAAAAGGCTACCGTCCTATTCACTGCAGAGAGCAGCGTGAACGTCACATCATGAGGAACCGTGTCACTCCACAGTGGAATTGTTTGAGGTATCATGGGTTTTTAACTTTTGAAATCGCTGTATCAGCTACCTTGATAATTAGACTGCCATTTTGTATCATTCATATTTAAATCACCAAACAAATCAGGGATGTTGGCAGTGAGTCAAGTCTGTAAACACTGCATTAACCTCAACCTTAAAAATCTGACAAAAAGTCAAGTTCAGCAAATCTATGATAATACTGACACCTAGTGGCCATTTTAGAACTTGCATCTGACTTGTATCCATGTTCCATGTTGACTCATTCATCCATGTGGACTCATTCATCTATGTGCTATGAAACGCCATCCTTACACATACACTTGGTGTAAAAACAGGGCAAACATGCAACTGAAGGCAAAGAAACAAACCCTGCATCTTTTTGCAGTGAGACAAATTGGGATTTTGTTCTGTCTTGGATATTTTCAAACAAATATTGCATCACAAAAACTGCGATTTGATGTACAGTCCACTGTTTACTACAGTAGATGTAGTTACCCTTATTTAAAATGTGTTCAGTTGCAGAGTTGTACATTAATGTAGCCCACTGGAATATACCATTATTCTGGTGAATAAATAGTTCCAAGCAATATGGTATGAATAATTAACCTTGGCATTATGAGTAGTTAAGAGCCAGTTTCTCCATGTGCATGTTTTAGTCAATGGAAACTCTGAAACCTATCAGTGTGAGTGCAGATCAGTGATTTATTAGATGAGTTGGAAAAACAGACAACATAGCCACCTTTTTTATCAAATAAATATCTTTAATGAATCCTTGAACACAATACACAAAGGGAAAAAAATAATCCCACCTGGACGAATTCTTCACTTCCTCCCACTTAAATCTTTAACATCTGAAAGAAAACGGCCATGAAAAGATGGAACAATATATGTACAATATATTTACAGTATTTACAGTGTCCATGTACTCTGCCACACTAGCGTAACATGGTGCTGAGTGTGTGTTTGCGTGCGTTGGTTCGGCCTGATTTGACTGGAACCCAGTGGCCATAGGGCTTCCTGCTTTCATAGCTGTCCACTCTTGGAGTTACCTTAGCAGAAGATGGAGCTGTTACTGTTGGTTTGACCACAGAATTCTAACAGGACGAGAACAGGAGAGAAAGAGAGATATTAGAACATGCCAATGTATGTACAGGCTAATGTAAAGCAATGTTTTGGGGGAAAACTCAAATTAAATCACTTACATTAATGCTGAAAGAGATGATTTTCCTCTTTGGAAACATCTTGGGGCTGGACATATCATCAGGGTCCTCCTCACTGCTCTGTTTCAAAAAGAGAAGACAGACACACCTAGTTAGACATGTCCCTAAAACATATGTGAGTGAGCTTTGACAGTTTGTGAAGTTCATATACCTAGATGGATTACAGCTTCTGTTACTAATATTGTAAAGCACTTCTATTACATAGATCATTATTTAAGTGTTAGCTTCAACAAACTGCAGCTCTCATGCACACACACCCTCCCCCACACTGCTGTCAAAGGCTAGTCCTGACCATTAAATGACTGCTTCAAGGACAGACCTTGAAACAGAATGAAAAACAAATGCAAACAAAATATCAAAGTAAAATAGATGTCTTCTCTGTCTACAGTGGCAGAATGGTGACGTAGGTTTCCCAGCCCCTCAGCACACGGCCCGTGTACCAACTTATCTTTGGCAAAAGGAGAGGAGTTCTTCGTCTTTTTTTAGTTCTCTTGACAGGAATAGTCACTATAACGCAGTCCACACGCCTGCGCTCCATCAGCAAGTGGAGGATTCTGCTAAATAACAACGACCCATTTCAACTGCAAGCATAAATACATTTGTATTGTCAAAATTCTGAGAAAAATCTACATGTGGATTTCTTGTGCATCATCTATGTATCTATGTGTGTAATTAGCATTTGTATGGACTGTGTGCTTCATCTCTAAATGTGAGGTAAAGTACAAATGTGTTATTTGCAAACCTATGGTTGATAAACTAAACATTGTAAACATTTCAAGAGTTATCAAATGAACCTTTCACGCAAACACATATTGTCGTCACCCAAGTCACATGACAGCCCTTTTATCCCAGGTGTCGATGAGTGAAGGAGACCACTGTCATGTTATCTATGAAGACAGGAATAAATACAGAGAGTATGCGTGTTTCCTCAGGGGTCCAATGGTTAACAAGACAGGAAATTAAACACAACATAGACCTCAAGCTCATCAATAGAACACTGTAGACATTACACTGTGCTTCATATACTGTATATCTGTGTAACTTAGATGAGCTGCTGCTAGGACAGCTACGATCATTTCTTATAAAAAATACTTATTCCTCTATAGCAAAAGACATAGTCCATTACCCTTGTGTTAAACATAAGTAGTCAGTGCACAAGTTGTACCAAAAAACACTTAACTATCCCCATTCTCACCATCCCTTAACTTGTCATATATATCTAGTTTAAGATAAATACTTCAAGGCCTTTAATTAAAGTGACAATGCTTTGAGTGTGATGGGTTCAATGTGAAGCCGACAGTCATCCTCAGACACCCACCTGTGATGGAGTCTTTTCAGGGTCTTGTCTCACCCATGTCCCTCGTTCTGGTGACACCTGTTCGGGCTCCGACTGCTCTGCCAGGATTGGTTTTACGCTCTCTGGAAGTTCCAGCCTCTCCGGTCCAAGGACCTTCTCGACATTGCTGATTGCAGCTTTGAGGACTTCCCTTTTATCTGGAAACAAGAATATGTTTTGAGAAAAGATAGTTCAACATCTGACAACTTCACAGTCTGCTTCTCTTCCAAAAAATCTTACTTAGCATTCCCTCGTTTGATGCAATCAACTTACCATCCAAACTCATACGGACAGAGCGTCCTGATCTGGAATGTGAGCGGCTCCTGTTGTTTCTGGATGAAGACTGCGACGGCCTATGTCTGACCCGGCTCACATCCCTCCTGTGCCTGTTCTGATGGCTGGAAGACTTGGAGCTGGCCCTCGAGCGTCTGGAACGCGAGTACTTGTCTGGCGAGGGTGACCGGCTTGACTGGTGAAGTTGACTGTATCTGTAATGGTTGTCACAGCGGCAGCGGGAAGAACGTCTGTGGCAACGAGGGTGAGAGCGAGACCTGGAACGAGAGGAAGACCTGCTTCGGGAAGACGACGAAGATCTGTAACGCCCCCTGTGACTGCCACGTCCCCTGTAGCGGCCAGAGGCAAGGGAGCGGTCACTGCTGCTTGTGGATCGAGAGCGAGAGCGAGATGAAGCAGGGCTGTTCTGGTCAAAGATTACATTGATGCCGTCGGTCTGGCGAGCGTGGGCCATGTCAGAGTGCGAGTCTTTCACCTTGGCCATTGTTTCTGCCACAAGCTGAAATGAGACAAAAAGAACGTCTTTTAGAAAACCAACCTCATCCAGTATTCAGTAAACTTTAAATGGGTAGGCCTCTTGTAGTGTTAGTAGCAATAACATATGTCCTTACATCTTTTATAGAAGTGCTACCTTAAAGCAAGAAGAGCGGTGTGTGCATGACAGGCTCTCCAGGAGAAAATGTTTATGTCCTGAATTTAGCATTAGAGGACTTTAAAACTGCTCTATGGCTGGAATCAGACAAACTGGTAGAGAACTTAAAGCCCTGCTGATAATATCAGCCACCGTCTGTATGTAAGCATATGGCTGTTGTTACATAACAGTCTCTCAGTGCTGCCTCTCGCGGTCACAGCCCCGGTTGTGTAACGGCTGACGGAGAGTACTGGAAATTTCCACGATGACGTAAGCTAAAGCTAGCCTGACTAGCTTGAGCTAACCGTGTGGCCTTTCCTCTACAAACGACTTCACATCCAATGGCTTAGCGTAAGATTAAGAAACACTTAGCCGTAAACATTAAAATTACACGAACAATACATTACTATATATCAAAAGACCAATTAGTTACAACTGTTTACTCTTAGCGTTAGACCGGAAAAACAAAGTTATGCTAGCGGACAACTTACCAGGTCGACGGTAGCTTGAGACCTTTGTTCGGAAAACGTCGATATAAACGAGGTACAGAAACTCAAACGAGGTCAAAAAAGTCGCTTCCGAAACCTACCACTAGAAGATGACTTAAGAACAATATTCAAAATACTCGTATTTGTTGGTTTTGTTGGTTTGTTAGCTAACGTTAGTCAAATATTTGCGAGAGGACAACCGTTGACTCGTCCTCGGAGCTGAGCCTTCTGTGGTCGTCACGCGAATGAAAGCGAGGCTGCCGGGGCAACGGGCTATATGTAGCCTCTGGAAAGTTCCAGTCACGTGGTGTCGCAAACGATTCGATCGTTTTGAACGACTCGGTGAATGATGATCGATCTGTTGGGTACGAATGAAGGGAAAGTTGTTACTTTTTTAATGTCCACAATATGTATTCTCCAAAAAGTGATATTTCCACATGTGACCTTATATAATGTAAAACTGTGTCAACACGCATTATTGACTAAAGGAAGGAAGGGAAGCTAGCATTGGCTCATTCAGACGTCTATACTGGTTGGTTCAGACGGACAAAGTTGTTCAAAATAATCCAATCATTTGGCAGAGAAGCAGCAAGCGTTTGGATCCTCTAAGACCAAGAAAAAAATGGAGAATGCATTATTTGCAAAAATGCCATGTGTTCACAGATGTTAAGAATTTAAGTGTGTATGCACAACAAGAACACAAATTGATGTTTAGCTGGGGGAACCCATGCCTGCTGTGCATTGCAACATAATGGGGTATGGGTGAAACACGCAATTTATATAGCCATCATTATACCCTTACCCTCTCCACAACTGAGACTAGACAGACACTGTGATGTGTGAAATTGAGGGAGTCTGAGGAAACACAGTCACTGTTTTAACAGAATGTGATTAAGAGAAATCAATTCAGTGAATATTATTATGACCAAATTTGAGTTACGTTGAGAGAAGAACCCCCAAATAAAACAACAATTAATGGTGCATGTACAGGGTTTCCCTCAGAAAACTTGCTAAGCCTGGTAGCAGGGGCAATTCTAGGGTCAGAGCTTTAGGGGTGCTGAGCACCCAATGAGCCCCACTGCCACCACCCACCCTTTTTACAAAAAAAAACAAAAAAATATGTCTATTGAAAAATAACTTTATCATTTTAACATTGGTTCAACTAACTCCAAAAGCCAGATTTTTTTAAAATTTTTTTTTTTGGAGACCTTCCCAGAACACCAGCGTTATTGTGACAGACCACACAGACAGCCCCCTGTAACAAACCCAAAACCTTCTTCACTCAGCTGGTTTTCCTGACCGTTAACTCCATGTGCCTCCTTTTTTATCAACAGTCATTAGATTACATTAGATTAGATTCAACTTTATTGTCATTGAACAAAGTAACAGGTACTTGGACAACAAAATGTAAGTCATCTTCTGTAAATTATTTACAAATGGCCATCTCTAACCTACTTGGTTGCACACCTGCCTGAACTTTCATAAACCAATATAAGTCATAAATAATTAATAATAAAACAAGCTTCACATCTGCATGAATGTGATGTGATTACTATTGTTGCAAAGCCTGGTTCCCTTTTTTTCCAAGTTTTCAGGGGTGCTGAGCCCCCAAAAATTTTAGAATAACAACATTTCTTACTCCAAGTTTTAGGGGTGCTGAGCCCCTTTTTAGGGGTGCTTCAGCCTGGTGGCAGGCCCATGCCTGGTGGTAGGTTGGAAGGGCGGCTCACCGGCGGCGAAGCATGTTTTTTTTTTTTTGTGACAGGGGCCTGACACAGGCCAGCAACTGACTGATGGCAGTGCCCTATAGGTAACAGATTCATGACGTAGTAGAATTTATTGTGGTTTCATACTGCCTTTGCATTAAATCAATGTTAAAAGTTGACTGTAAATTTGAAAAAATGACTGTAATAATCAATGTAATCATGTGTTATTATAAGACATTTAGTGACAATATTTAAGCACCAACTATAGTCTCACAAAAGCACCACTCTTGAAGTACTGTTCAACACCAATGTTTTAATACAAAAAATACAATTAAAATAAATAAATGTTTGCACTTAATAACTTAAAGTAAAATCCTGATGGCACGTGAATCTTAATACAAGCCTTGTAATGCTGGTCACATTATAAGATAAATAACAATAAATGAAATAAAAAGTGCTAACACTAAAAAATGGAACTCAAAAATGGACCAAGAGATTCAGACTGATCACCCTAAAGCCAAGGGGGAAAAACAGGGAACTCCCAGAACAGAGGTTCACTGATATTAAGAGGTATGTATCATTTGGCCTCTCCTACTTTTTGTGGCACAGATTGCAAGTTGGATCACTACATGTCATCCTTCTGGGTCTCTCAAAGAAGACTTCCAGGGCTTTCTGGTAGTCCATCTCAGCCACGGGGGTCCATTTATTTTGATCCTCAGGCAGGCAGCAAGGCTTTTCCCCTGCAGCCTGTTTCTGAGCTCTATCTTGATCCATTGATACCTAAAACCGAAACTTTGACATTATTAAAACAGCTACCGCCATAGCTTATCTAACGCTGAATTTAATAGCGGCGTTTTACTACTAAACCACTGTGAAATTAGCGCACTTAATATTGTTAATATTGTCATGTAGTACAAAACAAACAAAATAAAACTTACCATAATTGGTCAGGTACAGCCACCCGCTGATTTTTTACACTCACACAATCATACATATGTACATACATACATACGTGTGTGTATTTATGTATTATGCACATTTTATTTTTGTTCTTCTGTCTTTTACAACTATTGTTCTTGTGTAGTGAGGTTTCAGACAGTTGCAATTGTATAACTGGAGTGACAAACAACTTGAATGTGAGCCTACATGGTAAATTCAAACTATCCAAGCATGACTTACCATCCTGTGCAGGAGGAGCTGACTGCTCTTCATCACTACTGCTGTACCTATAGGCTGCTGACCTGACTGGGCCTTTTCACTGCTGCTGGTAGAAGCTGTGGCTGGCTCTGACTCTTTTCTTTTTTTTTGAAGAAGCTCTGAATATCTCTGCTTCTCTTCATAACTATTCTCTTAATATCCCTGGGGGAAATGTAATTCAATCACTCAATCACTCAATCAATCAATCAATCAGTCAGTCAATTCACTTTGAAGTAATAGCTATAACTACAAACGTCAAGCAGGATCATTGTCAAATTGGGTTAGAATCAGTGTGCAAGATACAGGTGTTGGTGTGGCTCTGGAACCCCTTAAATAACAGCTTTGACTCCAATAAAATGTCAAAAAGAAAGGAGGTGTCAACAATGTGCCTAATTATATCTATTTACCCCCGAGAATCGCCATTGCCACCAATCAATACTGATTAAATCCGCTGGTTCTATGTTTCCCATCGCGGCACGGAGAAGGCTGCTCTGCCACTGCAGCGGACGACGAGCTAACATCCATACTAGCTGCCTCATCGACCCGTGGCTCAGCCAACGTCGTGCCGCTGCACTCCCGGTCAACAGGTGAACCAGCGGGTTCAACGTCTCCACCTTTGTTCGTCCGACTTCGGAAGAAAGAGTCCAGCGTTTTTTGGCCCTTTCTTTGTGACATCCCGTTATGTTCAATCACAAGAAGTCGCCAAGTTTGTGTGTAGTGGCAGTAGCAGTGGTTTGTGGGCTGTAAGGTGATGAGAAAGACACCTGACCTCAGACCCGCCATGTGTTCACGTGTTGACCATAAGATGTCGCCATTGCGCTTTCAACTTTGTTACTGATGTATACAAACCTATTTTGAATAAATAAATAAACGATGCTTAGCCTGGCGGTGGGAAATTTAAGCCTGCCGGGCCGCCTTACACTGGGGGAGACCCTGAATGTATTTAATAGTACTCCTCCTAACCCACACACAGTACAGTCATGTTTCAGCATGTGGACTACACTTGTGCTATTGGCCTTTAAATATAACCTCGCTAGGCAAGCGATCTCGCGATAGTTTATGTAACTCCAATCTGTTTACCCTGTCGCTTCCTGCTCTCCCACTGGGCTATAAAGTCGCTTGTGGTGTAGTTTGCACGCCGCCGTCCTCCAGTAACCAGCACAGCAGGCAATAACCAGCAGCTATGGACATTCTCACTGTACTGCCGTCCAGCTTTGGATATGCTATATTCACCTTCCTCTACAGCTGGATTATGCTGGTGTATTTAGGAGTCAAGGTTGGGGCCGCCAGGAAGAAGTACGACGTTAAGGTAGTTGAAATGTGACTTAAGTGGAAACTGTGGAAAACAAGGCGTAAAGTGAATACTGCATGTTGCTAACTATATTGGAAGTATTTGCAGTGTGTGCCTCTGGTTAATGTTGCGACCTCTTTGCATTTGCAGTATCCCACTATGTACAGTGACAAGGAGCAGGTATTCAACTGTATCCAGAGAGCACACCAGAACACCCTGGAGGTGTACCCACAGTGGCTTGTTTTCCAGACCATTGCAGCTCTTGTCTACCCGGTATGTGTCATTTTTGCGTATTTATGTATATATATATATATATATATTATATATATTATATGCATTAATTAGTTAGTGTGAGTTGTCTGTATTACTTGGCCGTACTAGCGTGTGTGTGCGTATTAAGGGCTAGGAAAAACAGACATATGTCAGGCGTTTGGGAGGGGCGGGCACTCCTGATGATCTTTGCCTTAAATCCTGCAGATAACAGAGTCATGCCCAAAAAGACAGTGTCACAGTGATTAAGCATATTTTCATCGAATTAAATTGTGTTTCTCGGCTGTTTTGTAATTCTCTTTGTTCATATTCTCAGTTATCAGCATCTGTGCTGGGTGCTATTTGGGTGACGAGCAGGTTTTCTTATGCTTGGGGCTACTACACAGGAGGTAAGTCAACATAAGAAGTTATGTTAATGTTATGTGGAAGCACTTGCTGGAGGGCAAAGCACATAATTCAGTGTACCTAATTTACTATTTGTCTAATAAATGTTACACACATTCCATGCTTATATAATCAATTCCATATACAGACCACCAAGCCTTGGATATAAGATAGTACATGGGTCAAAGTGTAGGGGCCCTTACCGAAAAATACATAGAGTATAATTATTAGGCTCCTATGCTTTGTAATGATCACAGACTTAAGGCCATAATTCATCCACCTTATCTACCACTGCTATGCAAGTAATACAGTAGATGGGTGATACACTTCATTTATACAAACTACTACTCACAACATTGTAGTATCAGAAACGTAAAGGCTGCAGTCCAGGTGTCACAGAGGTGACAGTCCAGTGGTTGCCTCGCCATTTTAATTGCTCCACACCCAGTTTTGTTGAATCATTTACAAAGATAGCATCTGGGCCAAAGACAATGACAGAGAATGAAAGACATATATCTACGAGGTCTAAAAACCAAAACATTACCTTGTGAACAAATTTAATTCATTGTTTTTTCATATAATTCTGCACCGGTGAAAGTTTACATTGTCCTGTTTTATGTTTTATTCCAGATCCAGCCAAGAGGATGAATGGAGCCTATGGCTACATTGGATACTTCGGTGTCATCATTCTGTCTGTGTCTGTAGCCTTGCAATTGCTTGGAGTCTTTTAAGATACTTGTCATCTTGTTTGCTCATTAAAACTGGCTTGCATGGCATTTTCAAATGTAACAACTCAAAAGTAGCTGTACGATATGTTAAATGCTAATTTCAAATAATGATGCTAAACATATTTTTATGGACCACTAACTTGATATCTTTATATTCCAGAATTTGTTGTGAATGTGTACTCAATGTAATCATTGACAATAAAGTTGATGCTAACAGAAGCTACAACCCCACATATGTTCTCTGTGGCACTCTGTTCACAATGAAGGCATTACAGTTTGTGAATAATAAAAGGGTCGGCAGCAGGCTTGAAGGCCCCATGTGACTCACACATGATGTCTTGGGCACAAATCTCCCATCAGTGCATACAGCAACTGCCTTCAAGAAGATCTGCTTGTCATCTTAACAAACAATAATGAGAACATGTTTTGTTGATTGTGTCTAGAAAGTTGTTTCTGCTGTTTCAATAACAAGCATGTTTTTAACATTTATGTAGCTGCTTTCAACTAAATAAACCCACACCACTAAACCACAGATTAAGCAGAGTCAAATGCAAATAGGTCTGCATACAGGGAAATAAAACACTCATAGATCCATTATTTGACATCCTCTCATATTTATGTATCTTTTCATCATTTAAATATTGGAATTAAGATAAAATGTTCCTTTATTCCCTGTTCCCTGTTGGAGAAATTCAAGTTTGACACAGCAGCACAGGATTATAATAAAGATTTAGAAAAAATATAAAAACTAAAGAATATACTATATGCAGTATGCAATAAAGGAATATGGTGTAAATTATACCTTCACCCAAAGTGGGGTTTAAATAGAATTATATGTTTATAGTTTTTGTGTACTCTTGTGTAAGTATTATTTTCAGTGTCGTGTTGCTATCTGCAACAGCCTCATAAATGAATGTGAAAGTATATGGCTCATATCAACCACTGTGCTTCCTTCATGAACGGGTACTACGCTCGTATTTCAAAAGTTTACGGCTATTTAAGCATCCTTGCATTTTTATTGGAAGTTATGAAGACAATATAACGAAGTTTTTGTATAGTTTTGTGCGTGTAAGATAGGTAGCACATATATTTATTACTTTAAACTACACTGTTGTATCAAAGTTAAGAAAGTACGCATGCAGTATTTATACTTCACCAGTTTCAGTGTGCATTACTGGGAGGAACTACCGACAGTGCGCTCATATATACATACAAGTTGTTAACGTTTTATTGTCCCTACGTACCATGTATCGGCTACTTCTCTTTGTGTGGTTCGTGTAGTAATCATGTTGAAGAAGTTCCCATTTTGTCCACAACACCTGAAGGCACCAAAATCAGCACCGTCTCAGAAGTCCCCTCATCAAATGGGTGTGGATCGACTGCGCATGTCCGTGACCGAGCTCTTTCGGAAGCTAAGTCGGGTTTATCTAGGGGGTCCACATCAAAAACCGAAAACAAAAGGTAAGAACTCATTTAATAATGACATTACAACCGAGAAACGCTGTCGGGGTGTTTGTTTGTGCCTGGTTCTACCGTTGTCGTTTGAGTTGTGCCATTATTTTTAGCGACTTCGTAGCAAGCACAAACCTTCAAGGAAATGTTCGCTAGTGCCAAAGCGATGAACAAAAGAACCGCACGACACAGGCGTGTTTTTATCCAGTGTAAGAGTACACTTCATGTTTCAACAACTATAACGTGGACATCTCGATAGCCTTGTGGTCGAGTAGATGTTACAGAGCCTTCGTGTAAAAATCACTAGGTGGTGACTGTTGGTATATAAGTTAAGCCAGGGAGCTGAGCATCTTCCTGTCACTACAGCGATTGCGCACAAACATACATTGTTTTTAATAGTTCTCAAAGCAGTTTGTGGTGGAATTGAATTCCAATTATATATAGTATATATTATATATAATGATCGCTGGTATTTCTATAAAGTTTTTGGTGTGTTCACTTTTACGCATTGTTGGACCTAACGCCCTTTTCCCAGAGTCATGTCGGGTTTTCTGGACGGAATCCGGTGCGGAGATTGCGAGTGCAGTGTGGACTGGGGAGAGAGAAGAAACACCATCGCATCTATAGCTGCCGGAGTCCTGGTATGTCACTGGTTTGTCACTGGTTTCCTCAGTTGACTGGAGCTACAGAGGGCGGAATGTGGGCTACTCTGATTTGTGTTCCTGGTCTGTGTTTGCCAGTAGTTTCTACTGACTAGTGTTTGCAGAGCCGTGGTTTCTGTTTTAAGGACCAAGGTGCAGATTTATTACACGTTTGACATGCACGTTCATACTTGCCACTGAAGCCCTCAGGCTAACGGTGGATCTTATTTCAGTTTTTCACAGGCTGGTGGATCATCATCGACGCAGCAGTGAAATATCCTGATGAGGGACAGTTTCATCATGCCTATCACACTTGTGGAGTCATCGCTACACTGGCTTTTCTCATGTAAGACAGACCTTGCTCGCTGGTTCTGTTGCAGGATCATAAGCTTCAATTATTTGGTGTTGCTTAAGCTTAAAGCCCCATATCCAGGTCTTCCTCAGCCTATGGAGTTGCTCAGTTGTAATGGAAATGGTCGTTATCACATGACCTCAGTATGGAGTTTCAGTCACGTGATACCTGGTCTTGTACTGGGGGGCTGGGGCGTTCACCCCCACCTGTTCAAGGCTGGTCTCCTTTGTCGGTTGGAGGTAGCCGCCTTAATCTGTCACCGGCCATCCACTGACTCCCGGTTGATGCCTTTGATCCCTTCCCAGATCATGCTGTGAATTATTTTGGTCTAGCGTTCAGACAGTTGTTATCACATGATGGGAATTCCATATTTAGGTCATGTGGTAACAACTAAACCATCTCCATGACAACTGAGCATCTCCATCTGCTATGACCTGAGGCAGAAAGCTGCTGAAACACCAAGTGAGTGGACCTTGTGATGGTAATTGTATTGTCATTTTGCTATTTCCCAGCTTGTAAGATAACGTGATCCCTGTAACTATTACAATTTAAGGCACAGGCATACTTGTTGTAACCACTTTATTATCATGGAGTCTGTCAACATAAGCAGGTAAAAGTAAAGTACTAGGAAGCTTCTGATATGTTTGTAATAATTTTTTCTCTCTCATTTGACCCATGTAGGATAAATGCTGTTTCAAATGGCCAAGTGAGAGGAGACAGCTACAGTGAAGGCTGCATGGGACAGACAGGTCTGTATGATAGGATATGATGAACAGCTGTATATTCTAAATAAATCTCCCACAAACACTTAATTTCCCATTTATAATGATGGTGGACACTACCTCATTTCAGACTGTTTGCTTGTATTATTATTACAAACATGCACGCAGTAAAACACAGACCCATAAAGAAGCGTTACATGGAGTCGCCCAGTGACCCACCCTTTTCTTATCTCTGTTTGCAGGCGCTCGGGTCTGGCTCTTCATTGGCTTCATGCTGGCTTTTGGCTCCCTCATTGCCTCCATGTGGATTCTGTTCGGAGGATTCGTAGTGCCTCGTAAGTCTTGTTTGTCTCTGTAGCACATTGTACAGTAAGTCAACTTGCGCTGCAGCTCAAAGTTAAGGACCTCCCGTTGCCCCGGGGACAATAAAAATACTACCTAGGACACAAAGATACAGTGTCTGCGACGATTCAGGGACAGTAGAGAAATGTATAATTACAAATTAAATTTTTACATTTATGTCACGGAATATATATCATTTTAATTGTTAGGTGTTCAAATTTTTAAAATGTGAGGTGGCAGCTGCATGATCCTTATGCTCTATGTGACACATGTCATTATAGAGGGGGCCAATTCATTGGACAGTTTCTTATGAAAATCAATTTGTCATACAGATCTCAGAACAACTAGCAGAACTTCCACAGTGAACAAGAGTCAGTGAAGAGATTTGTAGTTTTTGAGACAAAATTATTAAACTATATGGATAATGAAGAAAAAGAAATTAAATTGGTGTTTTTTAGTCTAGGACAGTTAAAAGGTAGAGTTGGGGAGAGTTGCTGGATGTGTCGGGTGTGACATTGTGTGGCATGTTGAAGTATTTAGCACTTCGGAATGTGCTGTTTGATGCAAGTAAGGTGTTGTACAGCTCATCATTTACTGAATGTGGTACTGTGTCAAATTATAAATGCAACCTCATTTTGTAACCTGTAAATCTTTTACCTTTTGCAGAAAAGCCTGTTGTGTATCCTGGTATTGCCATTTTCTTCCAAAATGCATTCATTTTCTTTGGGTAAGTTAAAGGTCCTCAGTGGCATCTTCAAACCCATGTTTACACTTCAGCACAGGTATTTTGTGGGCATATTTGTCTTACACTATCTTTCTGTCTCCTGATTAGGGGTTTGGTCTTCAAGTTTGGACGTACAGAGGATCTCTGGCAGTAACGGACTCTTGTGGGACCACTGTTTATACACTCTGCTTTCTACATTGTATGAAACAATACGCTTTAGTGGTTATTCACTTTATATAAAACTTTTTTAGCTTTCAAATTAACATGTTTAATTTATATCGTTTGCTGTATAATGGCTAAATCATAACTAAGCACAAATTTTCATAGATTCCTTGAAAGTTGAATATTTTCAAGTGTGGCACATCTTTAAATGTGTCTATTTGCACTGTGTAACCATGTTGTTAAAATGGTTTACAACTTGTGTATAAAAAAAGTGTGTATTTTGGGAGCTTTACATCCAGTAACTGTCCACATTTCCTTTGGGTATACTTACTTCTACGACATCCTTAAAGTTCTTTTGTCTGTTAGATGGAAATAACATAAATTATTATGGTACAAATTATCATTGAGGGCAATATTTCATAATACTGTATACATTTACTGAATGTAACCATATGGGGTTGTTTGTATCTTTCCTGAAATAACAATGTCAACTCTGAAACTTTTGCAGTCATCCAGATTTATGGTTGATGGTTAATTCTCTCACACTGCTGACCTAAAGTCAGCAAAGGGTTCTCAGCTATAGGGTGTTGTGTGTGTGTGTGTGTCATGGAGATTTGTATTTGACTGCAACACTTACCCATTTGCTTGTGTAACATCCTTGAGGTCAGTTTCTGACAACCATGGTAGCATTAAACAGAAACATACTGAGCAGTAAATAAGTCTTACATTCTTGCTTTTTATTTATCCCAGTCTTTGACACATAAAAACATCTAACTACTTTGCACAGCAGTAAAAAATAATTATGAAATTCTATACATTGACATGAATAGTAGTAGTAGTTTGTACTTGTAGGGTCAGACTTGGTCGGCTTCTGTCTCCATATCCTTACTTGCGAACTGCAAGATGGGGAAACTGCAAAACATGAAAATATGTTTTATGAATTTACCTTGTAGGGCACAACAAAATAATATCAAGTGCATTACTGTCTATCATCACTATGGAAACATCCTTTGAGTGCAGACATATTATTCCCCTTGGCTAGATATTGTGTTTGCTTGTATGTAGATAAAGACTTGATTGCCTACCTCCCAGAAAGCCTGATCATCAAAACATTTTTTGTCTTGGGGTGGTCTCCAGAAGTTCCACTTGAGTAGGAGCCCTTTAAAAAGTGACATATAAAGCTATTAGGAAACTGTACAAATGGCAACATATGGTATAATATGGCTTTGATATGGTCGCACACTTTAAAAAAAAAGAGACTGCGATTGGATTTGACTTAATTGCTGAGAACTTTACACAGGCCAACAATATGTCAAGTTTCAGTGTTGACGGCACTCTGCTGCTAGAGGCTGATTTAAAATGCCTGACAGAAGGTCTTCTGTTTTGTATGATTGTGCTGGGCTGTTGATAATAGAAACCCTACTAGAGAGAAGACTTACCTGTAATGATTCCTGTAGACAGACTTAGAGTGATGGTGATGAGAACAGTACAAATATGAAATACAGCAAACCGGATTGCCCTGCAAAAAAAGGACCAGTTACACAGGATGTCACACCTTCTGTGTATGTTTATCATATGACACTTGCATTCTTACGTTGTGTGATCATCACAGTCTTTGATCTCTAGGACGAGTTGTGCTAGCCATCCCAGTAGACCAGGGAGTCCATGTGTGCTCATGACAGCACAGGTCTCATGGCACTGAAATGCAAGCAGCATGTGGATCTGGAAAATAAGAACTTATGATGAGTTGTGATGTACAGATTATTTAATCAGGTGTAGGTGTCTGTGTGTTGATCAAAACCTTGAGGTATCGGAATCCAATTGTTGATACAACAGCAGCAGCGAATCCGATTGTCATGGCTTCCCATGGCTGATGAATGCCTGACATAGAAACCCCAACAGCAACACCACCAGCAAGGATGCAGGACTGCATTTGGATCTGACAGAGGAGTGAATATATAAGCCTCATTATAAACCAGATCTCTGATTGATTGGATTGTTTTGAGTAAGTGAGTGTAAGTCTATTCACTGAAGCCAATAGTGACTGTTCATAAAAGAGTATAATGTTGAGTTAACATATCAAGTGTCAGATCATACCAGGTTGTGTTTTCCCTTGGGGCTCGAGAGCACAGACACAGCAGCTGCAGTTACAGCACTGACAGCCAGGGCCAGGTAGGTGCTGCACACAGCCCCTAGCTTCCTCCCAGGAATACGATTGTCCAGAAGGACTGAATTAAAACTAGGCCAAAACATCCAGAGAAACACGGTGCCTGGAGAACAGAGATCAGAGACATTTCTATTCAGATTCTGCTATGCTAAAGCAGGGTTTGAACTTAAATCTCCAGTTGAAGGATAGCTATCCACTCGCTGCATATCTAGTAGCAACATCAGGAAAACATAGCCTACTACTTACATACCTAACATGGAGAACAATCCTGTTTTGCGGTCATATTTCTCTTTTTCAAAACGCTGCATGGATTCATCCCGATACAGGATCCAGGTCAGCATGAGTCCAAAGAAGGCCCCAAAGATGTGAAGCAGCATGATGCTGTTGACAGGCCGGGCCTACAGTTAGAAAACACCATTATAACCAAACTTCCAACAAGTTTTGCAACAAATGCATAGCAGGTACTGCTGTAGGACGTAAAGATGCTTGGCCTGAAGAACTGAACACAGGATTAAAAGTTTCTTACTTTCAGCAGGGTCTGGAGGAGCCATTCATTCAGGACGAACCCTGACACCTCCAGCAGGGCGATGACGATGAGGTGAACAGGGTTGGTCTTCCCCACCATGGTCCCAATTGAAATGAGGGCAGAGGCAGTGCACATCTCAGCAACTACTAAGCTATAATAAAATATTATAACCGATGACGTATAAATTAGAGCTGTGCGATCAAGTTTGTTGATGCTGTTAAATACATCTCTGTTCAATTAAGTGGCTTTTTCTTTTGCTATCGGCTGTAAAACGTAGTAGTGATCATTTTTGTGTGTCATCAAATTTAAAATGTGACAAAATAACAGTCTCAACTGATGACCTACCTTCTCAAATTTATCTGGATCTTTCCTCTGTAATACCAGGACTCAGTTCCATTGAGTATAAGAGCCCATTGGGTGGCAATGACAGCCACAAGGAGGTTGAACCCAGAGCCACTGAAACCATACCGCACTAGAAAAGTGCATATGAAGCCAAAACCTAGAATCACCATCACATTCACATCCTGGAAGTCTGCAAGAGAAAAGACGTACTAGGCTTTAAAAACCGTCAGATATCTGAATCACAATACAGTCCAATACAATACAGCCATTTCTGCTGGGTTTCAGCTGATAGCCCAGTTTTCATGAGACAACCGAGGCCATCTGCTCCTCAACAACCTGCAACTGTATGAGCTTATCAATACCCAACAGTAATAACTCCAGCCCCTCCCCCTCAATCCTGGACTCTAGTTTATACATTTATTTAGTTCTTTAAGGAACCTTTATGAATTAGAATATGAATTAAAATGCATTTTTAATGAATAATGTTACTCAAATAAAACTTAAAATGTCTACCTTTCAACCCCCATTATCTCACACCTTCCTCCCCTTCCAACCTCACTACTTACCTGAGTAAAAGCTGCTGAAGGTAGTCCCATCTGCTTTTACATTGCTGTCGATCTCAGTGTAGAAGGCATATATGACAATGAACCCTATCTGCAGAAAGAGCAGCAGAGGAGCCAGACGGGAGCGCAGACTTGGTGCGTACTGAGGAGCCATTGCAAATGTTGTCTGCGCACTTATCTTCCAACTGACGCATATGTAGCACTTGCGCTTTGAATTGGGCACAACCCCAAGCACATATTTCAGTTTTTATCAGCTGCTGGACATGAAGACAGACGGACGTCTTGACTAGGGTAGTCCTGAGTGAAGTCTGACTTTGAGGCTTTATTCTTTTCAACCACATTGCAACAGCCCCCTTTAATACAAATTTCAGAGAACTTAGATCGAGAAAATAACAATGCAGGCCTCTCTCCAAGAGGAGGGACTGAACACAATGCAGCATTATTAGCCTTTAATGTTACTTATTTATATTTATTCATCTACACTGTTACAATCATTACGCTATTTAATTTATTTTATCACACCACGTTGTTATGGTGCTGAAGAGAAATAGAAACCCATGAGTAAAGTTAATCATATGATAAGCGATGATAAGTGCAACCCACACGTTTTAGTCAAACACACGCACACGCGCGCGTACACATTTTAACCTGGCAACAAAACATAGATGGCTTACAAAGCCTGGGGACAAGTCTGTCCATTGATAGTCCATGAACCACACACAAAGGCCCTGGTATAAATAACCCCCGTATGTTGGAATGGATGTTTTGTATCTGGCACAAAGGGAATTTTGTCCCAAAGACTGCATATTTTCTGCTCATAATAAACCAAAGGGGGGAAAAACTCTCAGAACAAAGCCCGCCTCCGCGATCAGCTCATTGGTCAATCAGCGATGCCCAATTTGTCCACAGAAATCTGATTGGTTCAACGGGGAGACGTCCCGCACACCGCGGCCCTCGCCCCCTCGCTCCTGCCTGTTGTCTATGGTGGAGGAGAGCGGAGCGACAGGCCACTGTGCAACATTAATGGCTCATCTCTATCTCCGTCACCGAGAGAGGCCTCTGCAGATAGATTGATTGGATAGAGCAGCTGTCTGACAAGTGGACGTAAGCCACAGCGCGGGTTGGACTCATTGAGTCTGCGCTAACAGAAAAAGAGGAGGTTCCCGAATAGAGTCCTTTATTTATTTCTTTGTTTCCAGTGGGGAAAAAAAGAATAACAGCGACATATACCGCAGGCACTTCATTTATTATCGTTGTCCGTATACACAAGAAAACTGGATAAGATTACAGTCGTTACTCGAAGGCCAAAGCCAAGGGGAGGAGGATGAAGCGGCGCAATGCGGACTGCAGCAAACTCCGACGGCCGTTAAAACGGAACCGAATCACTGAGGGTATATACGGCAGGTAACTGAACGGAGCCGGGCGGAGGGGTCTCCCTCACCACAGTAATGGAGGAGGACACTGAATGGAGATGCTTGCGGCTTTATAGCTGCAGAACGTAAAACTTCCTCACCGTCACCATTGATGTCAATGAACTGCCACCGCCAGCTAGCTTGTTAACCTAGCTAGCCGCTAGCCGCTAGCGGCAGCGTAGTGTATGCTGGCGGTACGTTAGCCGCTCAGCTAGCTGTAGCGCTAGGCCGAGAGACAGCCTGTTTTGAACCGTGTCACAAGGTCTCTTTCACGGCAACGCTACTGTTTGAAATAAGTTGTGGTGGATTTGTGGATACTAATGAAACGACCCCGACTATCTCCCGTTTGCCCACGTCAGTTGTCATCTGCTAGCCGTGTCAAAATTAGCCGCTTCACTGTTAGCTAAGGTAACTTGTGGTAGCTAGCACAACAGCAGCTTTGTCTGCTCATTGCCAACTTCTCCACATGCGCCTGTAATATCCAGTAATAGACTATGTTAACAGTCATTGTAAACATGAGTTGCTAAGACTGCGGTCAGTCAGTCTGACTTCACAAGAGCGTGTGTTGCACTGTTCAGTTTGGATAACTTAAAGTTACTTAGTTGTCCTTCCCAGTCAAACCTGACAGGTCCCACCTCTGTGTGACTTCCTAAGTGTATAATAAACCAAACGCTAAAGGCCAATAGTTACACACGTGGCATCTAGAGATGTGGGGCAGTTCCTGAATTATTGAGCAGGTGCCCCTACATAAAACAGTCATGCTTTGAGATCAAAGAGCACCCCTACTGAGTCACTTTCTGGGTCTCAGTGCTCAACAAGAAATGTCAGCTGCGACTGCAGACATTTAGTACATTTCTGTGTGTTAGTTCTGTATATACATCCAGTTACATTTTGTAACGTAAGCCACTTAGAATAAGAGCAATGCATACAGGCATTTGATCTGTCAGACAGCAGCAATGGGCTCCATATGTACATCTTATACTTGATTGATTCTCCACACACACACACACACTCACAATAAACCTGAAAGACTTTGATGTATTGACTTAATGTTGACCTGCCATATATTGACTCTTACGGGTAAATTTGAGTGACCTGACAACAATAACCTGTGACATTCTTGTGACCATTCTTGTGTATTTGTGTTTCAAAACATCTTGTGTCATCCAATTTTTCCTCTTCCTTTTTTAGTACCTTCCTGTACCTGAAGTTCCTGGTGGTGTGGGCACTGGTGCTACTGGCAGACTTTGTACTGGAGTTCAGGTTTGAATACCTCTGGCCATTCTGGCTCTTCATCCGGAGTGTGTACGACTCTTTTAGATACCAGGGGCTGGTGAGTGGCTATGTCCTGATATTATTATGGTTTCATAAAGCTGGCGAAAAGAGCAAGGTCTTAGACATAGCTATTTTCCCAACATTTTGTTCAACACTCAACTTTTAGATGTGAGCAGACATATGCTATAATTATGGACTTAGATTATCATCCTGTTCTGATTTTCCCATTGAGATGTTGAGTTTTGAAGGTCTTCAGTACCACAGCGCTGTCACAGTCACCACAAGTAACCAGGTTATGATGGTTAATGAAATATGACTTGTTGGCCACATACCTATATGTTCAACTGGGCTTCTGACAGAGTTCGCACAAGAGAGAAGTGCATGACAAAGAAGACAGCAGTATGGTGTGATGAAAGAAAGCATCACATATAGTGGCAGCACTACACACTACAGAACTTCAGTCAGTCCAAATGCTTCAACCTAAACATAACAACAGTTGTGTCAGCTTTGATTAGAAGATGAGATTTTTTTGTTTTACTTTATTTCTCTCAATCAGATTTCTTGTTTGTGTGTAAGCATATTCTGTGACTTAAACAAAAGGAGTAGAAACCTTTTGAGGACATCTGGAGCAACCAGGGCCAATTAAACAGGAGAGAGCAGCTGTAAATATCAGAGGTAGAGAGTGCTGCTGCAGGTGTACAGTGGTTATCAGATGATCAGATTATGAATGTTGGGCCAAAACAAAACACAACAAGCTGTTTTCACTTGTACCTTGTGGGCTGCCTCTTAGGATCATAACTATAATCTGATATAATGTACAAACTACAGATCCTGTTTGTCTTCCATCTAAACTTTGAATGCTAATGTTAATTCTATTGTAGTTTATTTTACCTTCGGTCCATTGTTGTTCTTATTGAAATGCAACGTGTAGGTGTATTTTTGTTGGTATTTCTGTGTCTCACACAAATGCAGAAAGAGAGAACAAAAGTGTAAGCATTCATGGTATAGTTTTTCATCAATGAAATATTAAATTAAATTGCCCAGTAACAAATTGCTTTCATTAGAAAGAATTAAGATATGGCAACCAACCCTTCTATTAACTGGTGTCCAACAGCATACGGCTGGTTTAAGCCTGGAATGCATTTTCTTTTTTTAAGGAAATTGTGGGAAGTTTTGAGCATTAAATACTAACAAGCACAAACAACCTACATCTCTCTTTACTGCATATGCTGGTTGATCATAACAACCTCTCCTCTCCCCGACAGGCCTTCTCAGTATTCTTTGTGTGCGTTGCGTTTACCTCGGACATCATTTGCCTCCTCTTCATCCCAGTGCAATGGCTATTCTTTGCTGCCAGTACCTATGTGTGGGTGCAGTATGTTTGGCACACAGGTAAAGATATCTAATGTATTGGTGTTTTGATATTTGTTAGTAATAATACTGTATATGAGAAATTGGCAAATGCCGATGATTAAATTGACATTTTGAAAAAACTACTGTAAATCATACAGGAGAAGGTACCTCATGGTTACACCCTTTGTCTCTACACTACATTAACAATGCAAGAGAAAGAAAGAAAGGAAGGGAAAAAAACGATTAAAACAAATCATTCTCTTAAATGATAGACCACGCTAATTCTTAGAACTTGCACTGTTTTGTGGTGTTCTTCCACCTTGCGCTTCAGGAAAAAGCAGGTCTGAAGAGCGTTGTGCAGTACCCATGCACATTATGTTATCTTATTTACAAATAGTTGGCTTGTTTCTTAGAATTTTGCATGGTTCGTGTAAGTGAGCTGCACTCTGCGGATTAGTTGTCAGTCTGATTTAGCGGTATCCCCCTGTGTTGACCAAAGGCCAGGTGTCAGATTGAAACCCTAGTGCCAGTTGGGGGAGGGAGAAACACATACTGGCCCCCAGTTGCTTTCAGAGCACTCTGTTACTCATCAGTGACATTCACATCCATAGGATGTCACAGGAGTATTAATATCTCTTACCACTCTATAGCCTGGGGCTGAAAGTGAGTTTATTGCAGCCAAGGAGACAATGAGTATTGTCTGTAATTCTGTGTTTAGTGTTAATGGTTTGTGTAAAAGGATGGTATACCTGCTCTGACCGTATGTGGGAGGAAAAGGGACAGCTCTATTTACTCTCATGACTAAAGGTGTATACTAGATTCTGCTGAATTTCAGTACACTGGCTAAAGTAGTGGTTGGACCATTCACTCTCAAACTGCAGATAAATTGTAAAGCATATTTAATAAACATAAGATAAAGAGCCCAAGATGGACTCTCACAGCGGGGGGGGGACAATCAAGACAGTGTTTTTTTCCCCTTATTGCTATGGACACAATTCAAGTGGTACCTGATGTTTGATACCCCTTCATAACATTTTTGTCCTGCTTTGTTTTTTTCAGAGAGAGGCGTCTGTCTGCCCACTGTGTCTCTATGGATACTATTTGTGTACATAGAGGCAGCCATCAGATTCAAAGACCTGAAGAACTTCCATGTGGACTTGTGTCGTCCCTTTGCTGCACACTGGTGAGCTGTTGTTCTGTTTTAACTTGGGGTGGTGGAACGCTGTCCTTGACCGATGTGCTTTGACTGAAGGGCACATCTCGGTTTAGTGCCGACTATGAATGTGTCCGCGTGCTGCAGAAGAATGATGTGAAGTAAAGACAGCATTATATTAACTAATCTAGTTTTCACACAGCTTCGTTCATTGCTCCACACTGCATTACTACATCAGTAGTGTCACATGGCAGGTTTTGTGGTGGGCCATGTGCCTTTTTTTCAAGAGAATAGATTAAAGAATGAATTTACTTAAATGTTCCTTATTGTGCAAGGAGGAACTATAAAAATGAGTACCTCCTTTAGGAAGATGCAGTAATTGTAGAAACACTTGCTTTGTCATGCAGTTTTGTGCACCACTGAATTAATGATTTATGTTTGACATTAGCTTACAGAAAACTGTTTATTAGATTCTATGTAAACCATTTGGATCTTAATTTGCTGTGTTAACCTATATTATGCTATGAAAGTGACCTGTTACCATTCTATAATGAAGGACTGTTTATTGTTAAGTTGCAGTTATTAATAACTTAAGTGCATTTTTGTAGCAGTGTTTCTTTGATCATATCAGTACGTTGGTCATAGATCAAAAAGTATCACAAAGAGTAGACTTATGAGTGTGTTTCTTGTGTCCATCTCTGTAGTATTGGCTACCCAGTGGTCACGCTGGGCTTTGGCTTCAAGAGCTATGTAAGCTATAAGATGCGTCTCCGGAAGCAGAAGGAGGTGCAGAAGGAAAATGAGTTTTATATGCAGCTCCTGCAGCAGGCTCTGCCTCCAGAGCAACAGATGCTTCAGAGGCAAGAGCGAGAAGCAGAAGAAGGTAAGATTCAAACACACATACATGCATGCTGTTTGCACACTTGACGCACCTGGTTAGGGAAATCTGAGCCTCTGATCTACTAGGACTGAACAATATAATCAATATTATTTGACTAGGTAAACATGTAAAAATCACAAAATAGACATTTCGTCAAGTAGGCACATAGTGTTATCTCGTTGTTTCTCAGTTTGATTAGCTAGCTCATTGTCTTGAGTCAGTTGTGATACATGGATTGGGTAGTTGAAAGGTTTGCCAGTCAGTCTTGCATCAGTCAGTTGATGGAGATGGCAGGTAGCTAGCAGAAAGCTGAAAAAAGGAAGGAATGCCTGTTCTGTGTGTGGTATTGTGAAGTCCTGCATGGCACTGCTTCAGTAATGTGAGGTTTTGAAATGGTGTTGCTCTTTTATTATTAACTGTTGTGGTTCATGAAAGCGTGATAAATACAGATGAGTATGTGTTTGAATTATGTCTTAGTTTGTAAAATCCATCGGTAGCTTTGTTAAAGGACCAGTGTGTAGGATGTAGTGGCATGTCAAAACTCTGTCGCTTCACCTTCCCCTTCCAACTGTGAAGTAGAAACCATGGTGGCAGTGAAACGTGAAAAAACAGGAATGCTGACCTGCAGCGTTTGTAAATATAAATGGTTCATTCTAAAGGTAACAAAAACACAACGATTACTATATTCAGTGGATTATACGCTATTGAAAACATATTATATTCCATGTCTGACTATAGATTCTCCTAAATGTTACACACTGGACCTTTAAGAGCTTGTTAGGCTTTGTGTTGGGAGAGACAGTTCCCAAGAGATTTTGGTCCTGTCCATGTGATTTAATGGATGGTGACAATAAACGTGGACCCTCAAAACAGAACTTTTTATTCGGACAAGGCTTTTATAAAGGTATTTTTGCCTTGTTATGAATCTGTTTAGTCAAATAAGCCAACATTACTGCAACGTACATTTGCAGCATATGCAGCATTTCCCTCTCTGTTCAAAATCTGTGGTTGAACGCACCTGCTTCATAGTTTAAACAAACACACCATGCACATAATGATCACAAGAGGGTCTGGTCATTGGTTGTGATTAGGCAAAGATTTGAAAGGAGCTCTAATTTTAGGTTTTTTCACTGCCAACCAATAAGAAAAAGATACTGATCACTCGAAATACAACATAGCTGTGTGTTATGCAGTTGTAGCCAAAGTACGTCCATTTCACACAAGCAACACATGTTAATCTTCTGTCTGTGCTCACACTGTTTACATAAAAAACTGTTTTAGTTATGGATAATTACACACTGCTTAAGAGAGGATAGAGAGACTGGCTTTGGCCTCATGGCAGTTGTCATATATATTTCATATTTATCCTCTTTTTCTCCCCCTTATTCATATAGCAGCAGCAGCAGCTAAAGGAATATCTGAAGTGGACACACCTCCAGTGTCACAGAATGGCGCCCCAGCCAATAAAAAGACATCGGCACCACTGCCGGAGTTAGAGTATAGAGAAAAAGGGAAAGAGGGAAGGGGTGGCGGGGAGGCTAAAAAGCAGCACAACAGCATCTTGCCATCATCAGTGGACTCTAAACTCCAGGAGATGGAGTATATGGAGAACCATATGAACAACAAGAGACTGACCACAGAGCTGGGCAGCACAGAGAACCTGTTGCTTAAAGAGGACAACAATTCCTCCTGCTCATCCTCATCCTCCTCCTCCTCCAAAAACTACAAAAATGCTAGCAGCAATGCCGCAACACTCAACTCCTCACCCCGTGGCCATAGTGCTACCAACGGCAGCGTGCCCTCCTCTGTACCATCATCTTCCTCTTCCACGGGGAAGAACGACAAGAAGCACAAGTTAGCAGTGGGGAAGGGGACCTCAGGTGGCTCCCACAGGGATCCCACAGACAACTGTATTCCCAACAACCAGCTGAGCAAACCAGAAGCACTTGTTAGGTAAGAAGCACATGCTCATACACAGACATACTCTCCGAGACACATACTCATTAAGACTGTATGCCACTGTGCCATACTATACTAACTAATAAACAATACTGACGAAAACATACATTGTGGCCACATATTATGAAATGAACTATTTTAAGAACTTTTGGGTTTGAGACCAAATACAGTCTCAAACACAAGCATTTCTTCCACTATCAAGTATGTGTTGAGGCTAGGAATGTAGCATCAGGATACTGATAATAAGACCAATTCAATCACAATGTTTATAGATGTATTTTATGTATAATACAGCTGCACTGTAGACTGTACACGTAAAGGTGGGGTAAGCGATTCTGTAGAAATCCCATCACATGACAAATACCATGATATAGAACGAACGACACAGCAAGTGATGTAACCAACGTTAGCTTTTTAGCTGTAAAATTAGGTTGTGGGTTAACAAACTGCCATAGAGTTTCTGCTGCACAGCTTTCATACAGAGAGGACGGGGACGCTTTCCCAGAGCCACTCAGCAGCTCCAGACAGCGATACTCACAACTCTTCTGCTACTGTAGCTAACGTCACATCGACAGCATATGTTGGCAAACTACAAAGTAAGCCGAATGTCCATGGACAAGTAATTTAATGCTACCTGACACACAAATCCTGGCTGTAAAGGCTGAAATAAAAAGTCTTGTGTGGCTTGGTCCAATCCATTTCCCATTTACAAAGCCAGGGCTGTGTACAACCATTTTATTATTTTTTTTATTTTTTCAGCGCATTGGATTAGAATCGCATTACCTTGAATTTCTTACCCTTCCGGTAAAGCAGACCTACGTTCAATTTAGTCAAGTAGTCTAAATGTTTTACAGCGGAATAGCTCTGCATGAGGAAAATAAAACTGCCATTACAGCTGACCTTTGATGGTTTCCTGTAATATTTTGTAGTGTCCTATGGCCCTATGGCATTTTGTATAATATCTGTTTCAACAGAGGAGTATCAGTGTGGATCTCATGTTGCATTTGAACATGATTTGGACAACATCACCAGCATGAACAGAATATGTGGATTCAAACCTTTGATTTAATAGCAGTACTTTCGAAGCTTGGTATATGTGTTTTTTTTATTTGCCTTTTCTTGCATTGCGGTTGTTTCTCTCCAGCATATCATTAACTGAAACTCTTTAGCAGGCCGCTGTTTATTTTATGGTTTGTTTATTTTATGCTTCACTCACAAAACTAAGTGGTTCCAGTGTTTTTATTTAGTGCAGCAGTTACATTTTGACAGCTGGCACACCTGGAGCAAACAAACAAAGCATCAAAAATTGATTGTGTTTTATACAGCCTAAACAGATCCTTCAAAATAAATGCCTGCCTCTGTGCCATATTCTCATCAGCTTGTAACAGTCTTAGTTGTGAAACCGCATATTGCACACAGATGGTCATTAATAGGGTCTTTTGCTGGTGTGAATTGGACTGAGGGTGCTGAAAAATGTCATTTCACTTCACGTTTGGGATTTCTATCTAACTTTGTCAGTGGTTTGCTCTTTGCATTATGGATTTTTGTTGAAGATTTTTCTTGGTGACTGTCTCAGATGTCAGAAGACAAACTAACATAAATGTATACTGATATCTGTAATCTACTTTAGGGTCTCAGCTTTGTTTTTTTTTATCATACATCTTAAACTCTTGGAAATTATGCTGAAAGTTTGAGTAGAACTGATAATATTCTGTCCTCTGAGTAGGACATAGAAATGATTATGAAGCTTCCTTCACCTACGTTCAGCTCCTGTAAGAATTAAGGACATCACCAACACTCAGAAACACCAACTAAATTTGTTGTTTTCTTTGTTACACTTATGTATGTGACTCATTTAAGACTTAAGCTAGTCTTTATTATGAAGAAGCCTGGGCTATAATAATGTCTGGAATCATGTATCCATAACTACATACAGGTATTGATACTAACATTACTTGGAATGTGAGGATGCAGTTTTCTTAAAATCATGTTGAATTTCATATAAGCAGCATGTCAATGTGTCTTCCTCTGTCCACTCTCCCACCCGGGACAGATTGGAGCAGGATGTTAAGAAGTTGAAGGCAGACCTGCAGGCCAGCCGGCAGGTTGAGCAGGATCTGCGCAGCCAGATTGGCTCGCTGGGCAGCGCTGAGCGCTCCATACGCACTGAGCTGGGCCAACTGCGCCAGGAAAATGAGCTGCTGCAGAACAAGTGAGTGGGGCTACTACACACCAGCACAGAGTAATGTCACACTAGTCCTCCTTTTTGTTTAGGGTGATTACTAACTGTAACATTGGGGTGTTCATTGTCATGCATCAGCATAAAATAACACTGTAGGATGTTCACATCAAAATCATCACATCAGAACAGCTTTACATCCACAAGTTCATTTCTGATTGGGAAATGTCTGCTGGAGAGGTCCTTCAGACTGGTGCAGACTTCAATCTAGTTTCAAAAGGATGACATCATAAATATCAAGCAATTTGGATGTGCTGCTCAAATAAATTCTCTACATGTGATTCAGACACCGTCACATTTCAAAAAACAATGATTGCAGGTAAAAAAAATACTGATCAAGCCACCCTGTATTTACTGCTTGTTAATATGCTGTTTTATGCTATGTGTGTGCAGGCTCCATAATGCTGTGCAGGCAAAGCAAAAGGACAAACAGGCTGTGGGCCAACTGGAGAAGAGGCTCAAAGCAGAGCAGGAGGCTCGAGCCAGCGCAGAGAAACAACTTGCAGATGAAAAGAAGCGAAAGAAGTTAGAGGAGGCCACAGCAGCCAGAGCAGTAGCACTAGCAGCAGCATCCAGGTAGATGCTCATCTGAAACACAATTTAGTTTTCATTAACAAGTATACTCCTGCCTTGTGGCCTGTTTCTCACAAGTCATGATTTATTATTAGTATGGAGTTTTGACTTTTTTCTCTCATTTGTTCAGAGGGGAGTGCACAGACACGCTGCGGCGGCGGATCACTGAATTAGAAACCGAGTGTAAGAAACTAACAATGGACATCAAGCTAAAGGAGGACCAGATCAGAGAGCTTGAATTGAAAGTTCAGGTAAGGATTTATTATTAATTCAATGGTTGTATGTGTTAAATTAACTTGCCACTAGATGTCACACACTCAGTCCAAAACAATGGGCGCTATGGTCAACCAGACTCCACTGACAAAAGCAGTCATTTTACATTGTAAAAGTAAATTAAAACTTTACAGAAAAAACTAGAGTACTGTTGGTTGGGGAAAAAAACCTTAAAGGTCTAAATATCTTTTGCCATATAGTGGACCAGAGCTAGTGTGCAAAAGTGTGACAACGCTTCACAAAAGACACAAGTAATAAGGCAAAATATAACCTGCTTACGTTTATATCATGGTGGATCATTTCTTGGAGCTCTGTCCCAGTTATAGTGCCCCAGAACTAGATAATTCCAGTGTATACAAGTCAAATAAACAAGTCATATCAATTCAATTCAGTTTTATTTGTATAGCGCCAATTTATAACAGAAGTTATCTCAGGACACTTTTCAAAAAGAGCAGGTCAGGACCGTACTCCTTATAAAATTATTTACAGAGACCCAACAGTTCCCACCATGATCTCTCTCTCTCACACACACACACACACACACACACACACAGTTCAACTTGTTCATTTTCAAATTGATAGAACAGAATCAGACTTGCTAAAATGTGAACGATATTCAACCCTAGTGCTCAGACATTAGGCAGAACAGTAGAAGTCGGTCACAGGTTGTTGCACTGTATATACCATATAGACTTTCTAAGAGTACCCAGGAAACCTCATATTAAAGGATTTCTTTTGGTTAATAACATTTCTCCATGCAGCACTGAATTAATTTCTATTCACATCACTTACAGAAGTTACAAAAATGAATCAAATTTGCACTGTCCCATTGCTTCTGAACCTCGCCACGTCCATCTAGCAAGCTAGAAATCTTACAAAAGCAAATATCAGCCTACACAGACCATTTAAATGCCAGTGTGACCCTAACTGTATCTCCTCTCCTACATCTCTCAGGAGCTTCATAAATATAAGGAGAATGAAAAAGACACAGAGGTGCTGATGTCAGCGCTGTCAGCCATGCAGGACAAGACCCAGCACCTGGAAAACAGCCTGAGTGCAGAGACCAGGATCAAACTGGACCTCTTCTCTGCGCTGGGAGACGCCAAGAGACAGCTGGAGATAGCACAAGGTCAGCCTGATATCCACAAACAACATGTATTCAATACTTGGTGTGAAAACACCTACAAATATTTGTGGGTCTGAACCATATTCTGAGTCATCTTGTGTTGATGTGCTGATGTCTGTTTTCAGGTCAGATCCTGCAGAAGGACCAGGAGATAAAAGATCTGAAGCAGAAGATAGCCGAAGTGATGGCCGTCATGCCCAGCATCTCCTACACAGCCGACACCAGCAGCATGACCCCTGTGGCTCCCCACTACTCCTCCAAGTTCATGGACACCAATCCCTCCGGCCTAGACCCCAACGCCTCCATTTACCAGCCACTCAAAAAGTGAACACTTCGTCCCACCCCTCGCCTCCCTCAATCCTCCCATCATTTTTTTCCCCCGCAGGCCCATCACCTTCTAATCTGCTCGGCATGTCTGCGGCTGAGAACGTTGTTTTTCTTGGGTTTTTATTTTTCTCCTCGCCAGGTCAGAAGGATGTTGTATTGTGTGACTGTATTTGTTGTAGTTAAAACAAAAGACAAAAAAAACTTAAAACGGACATCACGTCAACTAGGAAGTCCCAATTTTTTTTTTCTCTTAAGTGTCTAGTGAAACCTCACAGAATCGGGTATGTATCTTCATCTCAAGGGTGTTGCTCTGCCTTTCCCACCGCCACTGCAACCATCTGCAACCAGTTACCTGCTCTTTGGTCCTGGGGAATAGCTGCTTTATTATTTTAGGTTGATTTTTCCCTCCTAAAAATTGGAAAACAAAGTTCTCCTTTATCATACAGCCTTTCTTGTAATCCAAATTTCTTTGACCAATTGTTTTCTCCCAAGGTAGTATGGTAACATCTGTACAACCAGAGGAATGTAGTGCAAAGTTGGCACAGACTCTCGTCCCTGTTGTGTTTATTTTATAAGACGCCAAATCAACCCTGCTCTCAGCTGCTTTGGGTTTTGGTGGTAAATAGTTTTTAAAGTATATTGTGTGGATCTATTTGTTCATTCTTTATGATTCAAGTGTTGATTTCAATAGGCTGGAAGTGTTGATTGCAACAAGTTTGAAAAGATCTTCTTTTGTAAGCAGGAACATAGACCTTTAAAAAGAAAAGAACCCAAGCAGCTCCTAATGAGTTTTTGAGTTGAAGAAAGTGCGGTAAGTCTGCAAGTGGGCCGGCTTCTCGGTTCTCTGCACAGTCTTTCATCAGTTGTCATGATCACAGTGCCTTGAGTTGAGGACATAGAGTGAGTTTGAGGATGAGATACGGCCCAACCCTTCTGAATTAGTGGTGAAGCATCTGGCTAAGCTGGAAAGGATAAGAAGTTGACCTGGCCTAGTGAAGTGGGACAAAGTTGGGACACCGATGTGGGTTTTTGGACTCCCTACTGATATCCCAACTGGTAGGGAAGCTGATCCATCCACTCAAGGGCAGCTTTGACCCTTATGTTAGTCACATTCAACAGATACATTGGACAGCAACAAATCCAATACTTTTCATTATACTCCTGTTTGCCTATTGTCAGTATGTTGACATGATGTTATCCTCCAGACTCTACTGCACACAGGTCTCCGGCTTGTCACATGTCCACTCACAGAAGCTCATCTCTACTGCTGTTAAACTCCAAATCCCTCGGTTTAACTGCTGCCCTCCCTTCCTTTTTGATTTCCAGTTTAAAGTTGCACTGTAGAAAACACGCTGTTTGAAAGGGAAAACTGTAAAGACGGACTGTGTAATGTAAACAAAGCTTTGAAAAAAAGCCAACTTTAATATAACAGTTAAATAATTTTATTTAATTAATCCTCTACTTCAGTTTGAGTGCCAAGACTGGAATGCTTGTTCCTCTAGTAATGTGTAAGAATGTACTGCAAATACATTGGCGGACATGTTTGTCAAATATCCAGTTGAATATCACTTAATGGCAGTTTCTGTTAAGCAGGTAGAGAGAGTGGTCACCTGTTTGTAGTAGACTGTGTAGTTTAAAGTAAGGGACTAGAAAGTCAAGTTTCTTTTTGTGAATGTTACAGTATTTGCAACTGTTGGGCAAGTGGCTGTTTAAAGCAGTTTTCCTTATTCCTGTTTCTGGTGTTATTGTTGTTTTTCCTGCAGGGAGAAAATCGCTAGAGTCTGATATGGTTTCACCATCATCTGAAATGGTCATTGTTGTGCGTGTGGTTTTCACCTAATGTAAATGGAGAAGCTTTTTTTCGCTCAGATTGCTGTCATTGGCTCCTGGAAAAAAAAATGTTGTGAAAATTGCAGTTTAGTCAGTTGTTTGGTCAACTGATTGTTGAAAGTATAGAGAAGTGTTTTGTTTGTTTTTTGTTTTCTATGCCCGCAGTCACTGCTCTGTTTCTCCCCAGGTCTGACCTTGGCTGTGCTCTCGCTCTGTGAGGTTTACAAGGAATAAACATTTTTTTCTTGCAAATTGACTTTTCTCTGCTTGTTGCTGTTACTCTGACTTACTCCTCTGGTCTGCTTTACAAACCCGTGGGGTTCAAACTAATGCAAGTATGACACCCCAAATGCTGTCAGCCCATCTGTAATTACGTTCTTCTCATTGTTACTTTTACTGGGTGACTTGGTTCTAATGAAAGACTGATATATTAGAATAGTTTAAATGAACACATAATTTAATATATTGTTTTAACTATTAGATGTGCTTTGAAATTTGATGTTTTTCATCAATTTGAAAAACTGCTCATAAAACTATTAATCTGGCTATATTCTGGTATTGGATGTTAGATGCACTATCATCTTATTACCACTAGGAGGCAGCGTCCATCTAAATCATGTAGGTTAAAAGAGATAATCTCTGTCCACTCAGACTCTTGGTTATTAACTCTGTCCAGAACCACTAATTCCTTCTATTCAAGACTAGAAAATCCCATTTAGCTCTGACAAAAGGAATTTATGAATATTTTGTTCATGCTAACCTCCAATCACAGCTAGTCAAAACATGGTGACCACTGGAGTTCCCACAGAGCTATCCAGCAGCACTGGGTTGGTAGATAAATGAAGTTGGGAGTGTGCTCCGTTTAATTAATGCCAGAGGGGGAATGCCAATCTTTGATGTTAAAAACTGAGTATTTAAACACACCTTTTTACTCTTCCTTTTTATCTGTTTCAAACTAAGAAGTAGTCATTTCTGTGCTCTGCTGACCTCTGGGCTTGAGGTTTCAGTCAGCGATGAGGGAACCATAAAGAAGGAGAAAATTATGGGCTGCGACACATTTTGATTTCAGCGATAATTCATTCATGTAATGCACTTGGAATTGGGGAGGGAGATAAAGAATCTCTGTGCCAAGCACAGTGAATTTCAATGCATGAAAGAAGCCCTCTGCTCAGCACTCTGTCACATGCCAGGCTTCCCCAAATACGCTTGATTAACCTGTGCAGCGAGACAAATGTGGGCAAAGCTCCTTGCTCATTTTCTCTGCATTAACCGGTGCCTAGGTCAGGCATAAATTTGTTTCACACTCAATCCTCAGTATTTTATTGCTCCTCTTGTTCCAATTTGGCACCACGCTGTTTGGCAGAGTCAAGCATGTGGAATTAAAAGATTATAATAGGTCTTTTCTAGCAGTCTGCATTTGGCACAGCTGTACTCGCAACGCCATTAGGCCAACAAATCTACAGCAAATCCAGCTGTTTTAAGAAGAGAAGCCATAATTTAGAAATTCCAGGTAGTGCTCTCCTGTTTCTCTAGCCGTACTCAATGAACATTAACTCTGAGTAATTTTTGTAGGAAATTTTCTTGGAAATACACTCTCCATCCCCCTGCCTCTGTAAGTGTTCCTCTGGAAAACAAGTTCTGTTTTTACCATGTAAAACAGAACTTGTTTTGTGTGGGGGGATATATGTGTGTATAGATTGACTATTGCTGATGCTATGAGGCTGCTTACTTCTGTTTGCCATCATGTATAAATAAATTATGTGTATTTTGTTTTTCATGCTCACCTTCAGACTAAAGAATCCTCTCTGCTGAATGTTGGGCAACCTACTCACGTGCCCCCCGCCCCCTTTATGTGCCTTCCTTCTTTGCCACCCCAACAGAAAGTCATTGATTTTTTCCAAACACACCTACTGTAACTACAACCCATGTTGCTGCTTTAAAAGTCAAGATATGTCTTGCATGCCTCAGTAACTGGCAGATTTACTAGCAGAGTGCATTCCTTTGTCTCAAGCCTTTCAGTGAAGCTGCCAACAAAGAAACAGTGATTTAAAAGGAATGCACCTGCCTGAGCACAGAGGGATCGTTTAGTTACAGAGCTACACTGATGCGGCGATAATTCTCCCTTCCAATCATTTCTTGTGTGGTATAAACCCAGTACTATGTCACTGCTAACTGAGCTTTAGGTCAAAGATGGTGGGGTTTCCTAATATGTCCTTGGTGACGTATTAGCCTGTTGCACTCTTGTATCTGAGCTTGTCATCTCCAGTGAAATCTGGTACTGCAAGATTTTTTGAAGGCCAATCTCATGAGTGGGTGATGATGTAAGCTCAGTGAAACTCAATAGAGAATTTGGGTTTGGTATGATATAAGCCAATACAATACAAAAGTTTCGGCACCAACGCCCCAACATCATCTCTTTACTGCAACTTACAATTTAAATCAGGATGTTATCATCAAAATAAGACTAAAGGTACTATGTGCTATGGATATATTCTGGTCAGTACACAAAAAAGGTATTTAAGATTGACCCTTGCATAAACTATTTGCGATGGCACAAAGGCCCGTCCCTTAAAATCTGATTTTCAATGAGCTCAGAGAAACTTTCCACTTTCAGCAGATGAATGTGAAAACATCTTTCTAGTGTCAAACTGCATATACATCATCCTGCACAGTGAAGATCAAACGTCAAACTGTAGGAACAACAAGAACATATTTGTGAGTGTAGGGGACTTCTATATATTCTATACTGTACCATCTAAACAGCCTGCAGAAAGTGGGGCTAAAAAAAGGTCACTTTGATCTCAGAGATTTTAAACCGTCCGAATTGTTGTAACTGAATCGTGTCCTTTTATCCATTCAACATGTATTTTTAATCACACACAAAAGTGGTCAATATGACATGAATTGCTCTTGGCTGGTCAGCAGGGATTCCTCTTCTGTGAAAATGAGACCCCTCTCCTCCAGATGTCCAGCAGCAGCTCTGTGGCTTTCAATTATGAACAGTGACTCACTGTTGAAGTATAATGTACATCTCTTCCAGGAAAGAAACCTCACAGCCTTCCTGCCCTGCAGCTGTTTACTTGTAAGAAGGGTCATCAGAGCACTAGGGCACAATATGGGGGCTATGCTTACAGTAGAGGCAACAGAATGCACTTTATCAGAAACAATATTATATGAGGTGAATATGTAACACAAAACAAAGCATATTTTTGAGACAATAAATATGATTGTGGAGTCAGAAGAGGATGACAGCCAGTTACCATAAGGAAAACCATCACAATAATAATAATAATAATAATAATAATAATAATAATAATAATAATAATAATAATAATATTGAACAGTATGGTTCAGTAAGTTCTTACTGTGATGCACAATATGAATTGATCTGCTTTATGGTGCTATATCAACCTGAAAAAGGTGAGTCAAGTAGTTCCACTCTGCAATATATTTCTGGTCATGACATTACTGACATTTCTAGTGAATAGACGATGAATTTAGAAGCTCGGTAATAAAGAAGAAGCCATGTGGCTGAATTAAACATGAGAGGTCTGCCCACGGTCCGTGATGTGACTACCAAATCATCCGTCACGGAACACACTGGGTGGGAGTAAAGCTGTACCGAGTATCAACAGAGAACAACAGGCACAGCACAGCAGCACCGCCCGCCCGGGACGCGAGCGCCGCCGCTGCAACAACCTCGCTCGCGTGATTCCACAAACGGGCGTCACGCGCATTATCCGGTTAATTTACATACCTAACGCCGCCCAGGGGGACGAACATGATAATCTACCATCGATTGAAAGCTAACCTTGCGGAGGGGAGAAGAAAAACAGCCGGAAAAAAGTTTGGACGAGAGAGGCTTGTTTTAAACCAAGCGGAGTGTTTCGACTGAGACGGAGAGGCGCTTATCGGGCTTCTTTGCCCCACTTTTGGATTACGATATGGACGCTTTGAAATCCGCAGGAAGGGCAATTATACGGAGCCCCAGCATCGCCAAACAGTCGTGGGGTGCGGGCAGACATAAAAGTGAGTATTCAGTTGTTCGACACGTTACCAGAAAGGCGTTTGCTGGTGCTAATTTGGCTAAACCGAGGGCTAAACCAAGCTAGCCTTGACAGGGAGCTAACATTACAACCGGTGAGTAACGTTACTTATACGTTCGCGTTACTTTACAACTCGTCTGTGGACGTCAGCCGCGGTTGTTCGGGGCAACATATCTGTCAGTCTGTCAGTCAGTGTGCGGGGTGTTTGCTGGAGCTGACAGGCGACCCGAAAAACGACTAGTTTAACGTGAAAGCGAGTGTTTAAAGTCGGAAATGTTTCTGTTATGCTTTTGAACTTGACGCTCGTAGTGACAGCGGCGCTCCGTCCTCCGCGGCTCGTACACCGACTCCTGTTGACGCTCTGTAGAAACTTCTGCTCCTCCGCGCGAGCTCATCGTTGGACCAAAAGCGGCCGCATGACACGACAAAAGTTTGAGAGTCTCGTGAAACCCGGTTATTGTCTGCCACGTCACTCCGTCGACTGACTGACTGACACGGTTTAGAGATGTACAACGGGGGGTCGGCGGGAGAGGCACAAGACTGCGATCCGGACTGTTGGAGAGGAAGCAGGGGGGCAGGGGAGTGAAAAGGCACGAAGAGACGAGTGGTCGTCTTCCTGGCAAGGCTGTGCAATCCTAGCAACGCACTGTTGCTAGGCGATACACTATGTGAAACAAAAAAATGAGAGGCAGGATAACAAGGAGTGGTTGCAGAGTCGGTTCACCCTAGTGCCAAAGCTCCTATCGGGGTTTCATTATCACGAAAGCCCACCTTAGCTTTGACTTTGGATTTCCATATGATTCATGGCTTCAGCTGCTCCAACGAGTGCAGTCGGGCAGCTGAGCATGATCACACACTGGCTATGTTGGCGTGGCTTTCACATGCAGGCTGAGCTGCCTACTAGACCCTTTTATGTTTGCTTACACAAAGGGGCAATGTCCCCTGCTCCCATGCCCCCCTCTCCCTTCCTTCTTTTATTTCATAGACAATAGAGCAATTGGCAGCAAGATGTGACACGTGCCAGACAGTGCAATCGATGCTTTGTTTTGGTCCACTCATCTCTGAAGGCTGGGGGAGGGGGGGTAGTGGTCACAGAGGGCTAACGACCAATCAGTCCCTAATGGTGGGAGCTTTATACTGAGGGTTAAGATGGTGATGACTTCAATCTGTGGCAAAAGTCCCATCCTCCACGCTCTGCTGCGGCTGCCTCGGACAGCCAGACAGAGTGACAGAAGTTGTTCCTCGTAATCATTTTATATATATATCACAACCTTTCTTCGCCCACGTTAGTTCTTCGTTAGAACGTCATGTGTTGTCTGTGATCAAGGAACATCCTCTATCTGTTGTTGTAATTATGGGCTTAACTGTGTTTCAGTAAGCAGCAGTGGACTGCAAAGTCATGAATGGGAAGGCAACTTGCTTAATCTTGTAGTGTCAGTAAGTGTCTGCTCTAAGGTGGAGGCTGTTTTTTGTTATGAGATGTATCCAGATACAGTCATTTATAGAGCACAGGATTAAAAAATGTAGTAATTTAGAATCTTCTATAGTGTGTCTTGAGTTGTATTAGCTTAAAAATACAATATTTCTAGATTTAGACGGGACTATAATTTGAGGCAAAGTTTTGCTCCATGTCTCCAGTGAGATTGTCTCTCCCTCCTGTGTAGGCCTTGTCAAAGCTGCCTCTTCACCTCTTTGGCATTTCTCAGCACGGCATTCTTTTTCTTCCACTGTCAGTGTTGGATCGTAACAGGTTCCAGTATTGTTTTCATAAAACTGCCCCATGTCTCTTTTAATGATCACTGCTTGTCAACATTTAAAGTAGACTGACATTTCCCTTGCTTTTGCAATCTTGTGTCTCTGCATGGGCGAGAGCGTGTCAGCTATGTCATTTCCTGCATGTGTTTAAACAGCTCAGTTGATTTTTGGCAGTCTTTTGAGCTGCCAGAATGTTTATCCGTGCTGCCCTCTCATTACATCCAAACAGGTCCCAATTGGAGGGGCGAATTGGTATGCAACACCAACCATCTTTTTAGGTCATTTTTTTTCTTTCTTAACCAGTCTGAAAAGTGTGGGAGGTAAAAAAAAATCCCTGTCTGCATTGAAGAGAGACAGTTTCCTCCCACGTTCCTGGTCAAGGAGCTGACTTCTCTGGGGTTGTCAATATTGAAGCAGCTTCATATCGGGATGTCAGTCGACCCATGTAGATGGGTAATGAGGAGTGTGTGTGATCTTAAACCACTTGGACCGCATCATATTTAACACCTAGATGTGTGAGTTGGTGTTGATGCTGCCACCGGAGATGGTAGTAGGAGTAGCTGTTGACTAATTAACATTTTGTGCATTATTCAGATAGTGTCACTGCAGTGACAGAAGTTGGGTTGGTGTTAAATAATACATCTGTAGCTGTAATTTAAATGGCATAATGCTTGAGGACAGACACAGTAGGTCTTAATTATGTTTTTATGTTATGTACCTTTCTTTTTTTCTACAACAAACCGTGTGTGGTCTGCACTGACCAGACCCCCCTGCACCTCTGGCTCTGCCCTGGCCAGTTAGTGCCTTGTCCCTTGCACAAAGTCATCCAAAGGGGGCTGCCAGGCAGTAATGGAGATTGCTTCCTGTAGGATTCCTTTATGGAGTTGTAAAGTCCTCACTGATTTATGGTCCTGTTAGATCTTCTGTATCTGTAAGCTGCTTCTGTGGAGTCAGTGTATGGAGTCACATGTGACTGTGTTTGTGGAGAGCACAATCATGATTTGTCACTGTTTCTCTAAGAAGACAATTTTTAATCTTGTAGGGAAATGAATGTTTGACTTTCTCTCATTTCAGCTGACACAGTAAGAAAAATAGCATACTTTAAACATCAGAATTGTTATCGTTACACCAGTAACTGGCACAGGCTAAGTTGAGCAATAAATTGCAGTATGATGAATTGTGAATCAAAAGCTGATCTATTTGCATCTGTTATTCCCTGTGCTATATTGCACTCAATTGCCTGTGATCAGAAAAATGTGTTTCCATGTGTTATTATTTCAGAGTAAACACTTATGCCTTCTGTATACACTGTAAAATTAGCTCCAAAAGACCGCTCATAACAAAACATGTTTGTGGCAGGAGCAAGATTATAAAAATTGGACATGATGTTTTTTTGTCTCATTCAAGAAAATAGAACATATTTTCATTTACCCCAATTCATCACAGTAGGGACTACCTTGTAAGGCTATGCCATTCTGTGAAGCCAGAAGAGAAGTCTGGGCAGGAAGCACAGTGCTAACCAGTTCACTTTTCTGGTGAGAAATAATTCATGTAATCTCCTTCAGCCATATGTGTAGACATATGGTCAGTGTGGTAGTTCATTGTCAGCAGGAGAACTTAGTGACTAAATAAACGCCATCTGAGACTTTTACAGCCAGTGAAAATCCCAATTAAGTATATGTAGACAGCTATCTCAGCCTGGAAGCAGTTGACGCTATTCGTCATTCAGTTTACAATTACAACACCTTTCCCTTTTAATCTGTTCTGAGAAAGTGAGTTAATAATACTAGATAATACTGCAGGCTTGACAAGAGCTCTTTTCTCCACAGCTCCTAAAGCATGAGCAAGACATTATTGTGCACCTACAGCAGAAACAGCCTTTCCCTTTTCTCTAACTTGTCACTCACGCTGTGGAGGTTTATTGATGTCTTCTGGGTGTTTGACAAGAATGAAACTCCGTTAGTTGATGAAGCAACTTGTTCTTCCACTCCAATGAGCATGTAATTCTGGTAATACTTGCTCTTTTTAGCACCCCCTCTCAAACTGAAGCTTGTTTCAAAACTTGTCTCTTTCCTTTTCTTTTCAAGGTCCCAGTATACCTGTGAGCTATGGCCTGGATTGCTGTGTTGTGCCAGTGGTAGTAAAATCTTATGAAACTTCACATGACACGCCCTTTTACCCTAAACTCACCTTGAAGGCCGTAGGAATGCAAGGGGGATCATTTTTATTAATGGAAGATTGCTTGACCTGTCTTTCTCCACCCATGTGTCTGCCACTGCTGCCAGAATTACAAGTAGAAACATGTCTGTGCAAAAAAGCACATACACATTTTGGAGTGAGGATACAGAGAAGAGTTTTGTGGCTGACATGCACAACTCCATAATCTCAGGGATACATTGTGCAAATCTGTCGTCCTGTGAGTGTGAAACACGGTTAAACAAGAAGGAGTTTCATCAGCCCTTGGGGCAATATGCAACTACGCAAAGAATCAAACAGTCAAAACAAATGCTTTATTTGAATGGTTATTATGCATTTTGTGCTGTTTTTGTACTGGTTTGTGTAGAAGTCCTCATGGGTCCTCTTGGTTCTCCGTAACTGACACTTGACCCTGGACCTGAGTCAGTCTGGATCTAAATTATATTCAGTTTAATTGGGTCCAGGGAGGGACCCATTGTATTGTGTGTCATAATCATTGCAGTTGTCTGCAAAACACCTAAAACACGCAATTATTCAGTTTACTGAAGTTGAAAAGCCTGAAAATGTTTTGCCTTTCTGCTTTAAAAAAATATTAAAACGATATAATAAAATAAGGATAATTAATTAATCATTATTTTATGTCAATCAACAAATTTTGGCTCTTTACTGCATGTAAATTGATTGGTTGTATCATGCTGCTGGTGCTGGTGTTCTGTCTCTATTTTAGTCTTTTCGGCTCAGTTACATTTTGGATACGGTTCAATTGTCGTTGGTTTTATTTTGGGCCACTTCAGACTGTCCTTATTTGTCTTTTTAATCTGGATAGGTTTCCCACAAGTCAGTCTGGGGAGCACAGTTTATAAAAATGGCGTCCTTATTTGTCATTATTTGAGTTGCAATAGAAACTAGCTTCTCCTGTGTATTGTGGCTGTGCGCAGGGTGCTGTAAGGATCAGTTTCATAACCCTGCTTCTTGTCGAGAGTACATTCTGGCCTCAGCTGGTCATCAGCTGTAATCCCCAGCTGGCATGAC